TCGAACCTCACCACTACGTCTTCGGTCTTCAAACCCTCTTAAGCTCTGGCTGATATTCGTCCCTCGCCTCTTGCACCACGCCACCCACTTTCACCACCACCGTCCTTGTCCAAATGGAATATCCCACGCTTATACTTTGTTCCATCTGCGAGGTCCATATCGTCCATTCGCGTATATATGTGTAGGTATTGCACGTACGTGTGTACGTGGGGCAGACGACGTGCGAGCGACAGGCGAAACGCGGAATACGAATGGAGCACGCTAACGAAATGAAAAAGAAGAAAAAGGAAAAAGGAAAGAAAAGGAAAAGCGCGAGCGGACTTGGAATTACGGCATTAAGGGAGTCGCTGGACATGGACAGCGATTCGAACACGTTTCCTGGGGGAAGGACGAACGTGATGCGAGATAAACCGGCGACCAATGGGGCATTAGCTTCTGTATTATTTCTTTTGGAATTTGCGTGTAGCGATTGAATTTCTAGCTTCGATTTGAAAGGGATACGTTAACGTGAGACTTTAACGACTTTTTTTTCTCGTTTCGTGTTATCTTAACCTCTCGCGCTGGCAACTATGGTTCACGACCATAACGAATGACCAAATCGTATACAATAATTCGTCGCTTTCTTTTTGAACTCGTCCGGTATGTTATCACCGGACAGAAATTATTACTAAAAATTAATAAATTTATTATTTGTTTTGTCTGGGTTATATTTGAATATACTTAAAACTGAGGAAATATTGCAATTTCGGGACAAAAAAATTCTCGACGTGCGTGGCACGTTATTCCAGCGCAAAAAGGTTAATAAACGATCGATACCGAGTATAGTCCATTATTTTATCTCGTTTGGAAATATCGTGTGACTTTTCAGCTTGGATATAAGAAACCTTCTTATCTGAGAAAGGCGGTTCCCGCCAAAGAGGTCGAGGGACAAATTCTACGACGAGGGTATACGTCCCGATACTGCGTTACGAGATGGCTTTCTTGAATTTCGAAACACTAATCTACGAATGCTCCACCCTCTGATATAACCTCTCGAGCCTCCAAGAGCCAAACACAGAGGAATTTCAAAACAGTGGGCCAAGAGTGGTATTGATCTCTCAAACAATTTAAAAAAAAAAAAAGAAAAAAGTTCAGCCAGTCCACTCTCAATTCCCATCGACCGATTATAATTCGAAAGTGTAGATTCCATCTCCGAATACATAAATTCGCTAGTATAATGGGTTCCGGGGATAATCGAGCAGAAGAAGGAAGGCTAGTCGACGACGGCGAGTTGGGTCAGCGTGGCTCGGCCAGCGGGATCGCAGGGAGAAACCTGGACTGGGAATTGGAGGTCTGGTCGAACCACTGCCATGTTGGAGGCGAATGTCGGGAGCGGGATCCGCGATTGGTCGCGCAGCCATACCGCCTGCCCGTGGAAACGAGAGGGCGTCCCGGTGCTGACGGCGTTCCACGCGGAAGGCGTCTCGACGCTCTGCTAAAAACGGCACGCGTCACGTCACACGCTTATGGGGAAACTCGACCCCTTTTCCGCCCCTCCAGGCCTGGCCGCCGTCGGAACCAGTTCACACAGTCGCGGAGACAACGAGTTTCAACCCCTCTGCCCGCAAATATCGTATATTTCAATTTCCCCGTCAGCGATTAATGAACACTTTGCACGCTGCGAACTCTTAGAGATGGTGTTGATTTTTTATGAGCGATTCTTCTTGAATTTTGGGCTTTCAGCGGAAATTTAGCTTTAAGAGGATGACTAAGAGAGAGAGAAAGAGAGAAAGAGTTTTTTTAGATTGAAAAGAGAGATTCTTTGAAGAAAGAAAAAGAAAAAATAGTTAATAGTATGTGAAGGAAGATAGTTAGGTTATTATACCTATAGTCAATCATATATTTGCAGTCTACGATTTAACAGTTCACTGATCTGATTTTTATTTTTACAAATAAGTTCTAATAGGTGAAAAGGATAGAAAGTTAAATTATTGCATACGAGGATCGCCGCTTGTAAAAATAGACAATAGAAAGTATGAATTCTCCTGCTCTTCCCTCCCCTGTACTCTTCTCATGTGAAATCTCGAGGTCGTTTAAATGCGGAACAGGGTTGAAAAATCTCCGAGCAGAAGAAGGAGAACGTATCTTGTGGATGAATTATCGTTGAAGTGCACTCGACCGAGCAATTGCTGCTTGAACGGTTTGATGTAATATCAAGAGCGCAGCCGAGTTCTATCGGAGTCTCAGAAATAGGATCGGGTTAAACAAATAAAAGTTGGAGCGTAATATCTCCGTCATTCTCAGGATGCTCTTCTAAGAGCCGGAATTGTGGAACGTAATTTTGCAGGAAACTTTTTTCATGATTCGAGTTTCGTAATCTCCCGTTAGGGGTTTCCGCGCAATGAGTGCAACCCTTTCTGCTGAGCTTTTTAGTACTGCTGCCTGGCGTTAAATTAAGACTGCCATTGGCTCCTCTGGGATTGAATTTTTTTTAATTATCTCGGCTGCGTTGTGTCTTCCTTTTTTCTTTTTTTAGTAGAGATGAACGACACGCAGCTGGTATTTATCATTGAATTAATTTTGTTCTGATATATACTGTGAGATCAAAAAGTTGATCGAATGACTTTTTATAAAAATTATGTTATTATTGAAGGGAATATTTTTAAAAATTTTAAACGACCCTTGTTTAGTTTGTTTGATAAAAGTTGAAAATAAGTTGAATTGATCCGATCAATTTTTTGAATCACTGTGTTTTATAGAAAGAAATTTTTATACGTTTTGAGAATCACCACAGAAGTGGTGTCTGTGCGAGTTTGTATTTATCAAAAAAAATGCATTTGTAGTAAGTAATAAACCTTGAAGGTAATAAATTTCATTGTTGACCGCAGTTGACGGTAAAAATTAACGATAAACTATCCTTGGTAAATTTCAAATGGATGAGAATCTCAAAATAATTTAGACTTTCTGCCTATTTTTGAAATAATTATTTCGAACATCTTTTAGTATATCATTTTAACTTTGCTCAAAACTTTTGTCACTTTAGAAAATAAAAAAAAAATTTCAACATGAAATTTAATTGAGAAATTATACGTACTAATAAAGACATTTTTATATTTAATTCAAACGCGAGATATTTTTTAATATTAGAAAAACGTAATATCTGAAAATTTCTTTTATTCTTATATTTGATCAAATCTATTCACGATTAAATATCTAATAATTAAAATAGCATTTTTTGACAAACTTTTTCACAATCAATCATCTAAAAGAAACTAATAAGAACTTTTCTTTCT